CCACAAGAAAATCTCTCTACGAACAACCAGGCAGATGACTTGAGGGTGGTGTGCTAAGCCTGCCTAACAAACAACCTTCCTTCAAACTTTTGGGATGTGGGTTCGAATCTCGGCGGCGCAGATCACACGACCTGGGATTTTGGATTTTCCTCGTTTGCATGTAGGATGCCCGAAAAACGTCGAAAGCGATGAATTCGTGTGAAGCCTACATAGCAACAACTTTTCACTGCCGACGAGGGAAAGGAACAACTACTCCTTGTCGTGAAAAACAAAACAGTAAGGCAAGCACCGCAGCACGAAGGTGGAGAAAGAAAACTAACAAAGTGACAAGTCTTTCAGTAATGCTAAAAAAGTCTTGTTGCCTTCCTTCTTACTTACTGTGTGATCGCGGACGATGAGTCCAGATAAATTCCCCAAAAGGCGTGTGATGACTGCTGACGCCCATAATATATGGGAGGACGCCTTACAACACACACATCAACACGACCACCTCGATAGTTTGAAACGACATGAACACGAAAGACACCGCAGTATCCAGCTTAGCATGCATGCGGTACAAGTGTATGGGACCTCTTCTTGGGTAATCCAAGTTAAGTCTCTCGTAGATAAACAGTCGGGACCCGGCGCTAGAGGGCATGTACCTTATTAAAGAGGGGGCTCCGACACGAGAGGGTCGAAGTTGCTTGTCACGGACTCGAACCGCAACCTTCTTATTCCGACATAAGATAACGGGTAGTCTTGCTGTGTTTGTATTTATGTTTCCTAATACGAGGGGGCTCTGACGTAAGAGGGTCGAGAGCCTTTGCAACACCACCCTCTCATATCGGAGCCACGACTGTATCTGGGGGATCAAATTTCAAGGTAGGACGATGACGCCGGCTAGCCGGCTGAGTCCGGAGCCTTGCACACAATGTATCAATACGTCACACTTGAAGCAGTTGCATCATGTTGATGCAAGACTCTTTTCCTAGATAGAGATGGATTCGTTGGGTCATATTTAGAAAAAAAAAGAAAAAGATCATAGACACACAGATAGCCCTTCGCTGACGCTATGGATTCATTGCTAATCTATCTTAGACTTTTTTCTGTAGATAGAGATGGATTTATTGTGTCATAGTAAGAAAAAAAAGAAAAGCTAGAGATGGATTCGTTGGGTCACCAGGTACTGATTAACTAAAGAAGACAAGACCATTTGGGCTGTCTCCTGTCATGCGCACATCTACCACAAGCACAATGTTTTCGTTGTTCTGCCCCGTATGCATATCAGCATGCGTATGTACTTCATGGTAGGCGTTAGGGCGTCTGCTAAGAATCGAGTCCGTGTTTCTTTCGGCTCTGGGCAACATCGACGACGCTCTAGTAGTAGACGTTGAACCGTTCGCGACAAGCGGAGATGACTCTATTTTTATTTTTTTATTTTCCCTGCTGGTTGGTGTTTACTCCTGTAGAAAATGCGAATTTCTAGGCGCGTGTGTGCATGCATAAACGGGATACTTGCTGTAGATGAGTGTGGGGGGTTTTCGAGCAGGACCCATTCGCTGTCAGCTCTTGTGGAGCGGCGTACTCCGCTGCTCTGCTCCCCGCCTTTCTGAGTGCACACAGGTGCTTCCATGAGATAAGGAGACAGCGCATGCGCCCGGTGTGCGCACACTGCTGTAGAATACATGCTGCTGCTGCAGACGCGGGTCACCAGAAGAAAAAATCTTCGGGCACTACATACGCTATGCACAGCACCGGGTTCTACGTTCTATGATTCAAGTGTGACTAGCCCAGAGGGAAGCCCGCACGTGAATGCATAAATGTCTACATGGAGACCATGGCCATGCTTGCGTTGGTGAAGTAGAAATGCACACTTGGTCTAGGCGTCTAGGCGCAGGACGAGCAAATCACAGCAAGTGTCGCCACGAGACTGCCGCTTTGGACTAGACATGTCATACGCCGCCGCAGATTAATCGCCTGCTGCGCAAAAGATTCGAAGTATGTCGTCGTATTGCGCTTCAAACAACAGCATAACAAGTAAACAGCGCTGCTGCGAGGAAGCTGCACACGGACACCATAACCGGCCCTTGAGCTCTGTCCGGCGGTGTGTTGGTTGCACTCGTCATCTTTCGTACCCACAAGTCTTTGTTCCCACATCTGTACAAAGGTTGACACAAAGAGAGGGGCACAATTTTGTTTTTGCAGAACACAAAACCGCACCCCTGTCCCGTTGCTACCTCATGGACCACGAACGAGCCAACCCCGGCAGTTCACGTACCTGGAAGATGGAAACTATCTGCTGCGAATCCCTCCAGCAATCTCCCAGCTTCTTCGCGCCTCTGTCTGTGCAAAGCTGGCTGGTGCAATGATATGTGCCAGCATCAGATAGAATGGGCGGGGCTCCGTGTGTGCGAAAAGGGGCCCCGGAAGATGCAACAATAGCAAGAAACGCCTTATACACTACAAGAACATTCGTTTGGGCCGCGCGCCTGCTGGAGGTGCGTAAGCGCGTGGCGGCGGTGTGTGTTCTCTGTTGAGGCGAGAGAAGCTCGGAAATAAACAAATCAAGGCCACGGAGGTGAGCTGGTCGAGTAACGACCTTCATGGGTAGTGAAAGGGAGGGCTTCCCCTGCTATTCCGTCGTTTGAAACATCTCGAAAAAGAGCCGTCAACGTGAAGAACGAGGGTCCCGAAAAACGGGAATGATGTAAGGTGGTGTTTTTGGAGGTGGGCCAGCTGGGGTTGTTAGTTGCCACGTCCCCAACGTTGAACAAAATCCCACGAGCTCGACAGACGCGGACCCAAACCCCGCGGTCGAGATGTCGGCGTAGTGTGGTGCTAGTGGTTAGGAGCGTGTTGATGTTGTAGCCGCCGACATCGGCTTTCCCCTCGTAGAACATGTTGTTTTTAGAGTTACTTGAGGGTGGAGGAATTTTTTTTTTTCGCGTATATTTATCTAGGTTAAACTATATACTCTCAGACCCCACGCTCTAGAAAAATAACCGTCCTCGGTTTTTGAAAAACCAACAACTGCACAAGCGGCGTCCAGCGGGAGAATTGAGAATTACACCCTGTGGCATGTGGTATTCTACATCGCCACCGACACTTGTAGTAATTGGAAGATTAAGAACCTTCACCGACGGGAGAGGACCAAGTAGGGGACAAACATTGGTAATGCTGCCTGTGGCATGCATGTGATTGTAGGTGTGCATGATACATAGTTTAGAGTGTAACGGCTGACTAAATAACTATGTTTCTCCCAACAATTGTTGCATTCTGGTTGCTGTCCTCCCGCGATGATGCGGTGTGACGTGCGACACGTTGCTTGTCGTTGGTTGTTGTTGGTGAATTTTTGGCTGTTTTCGTTGTCGTTGTGTTGAATAAATTAACGACGGAGTACCTGTGTATTAAGAACGCTGAACAACACCGGGAACTAGGTGTGACTACACTTCTAACAGATGTACGCATACATGTTTCCACTCAAGACGGGGACGTGTCAAAATTGCAACAAACATGTTTCTAAAAACATCCGAGTCTATATGAGTGAATGAAAATTTCCTTGGCAACAGTGGCTACAATAGGTCACATCGTCTTGGTGTTGAAAAACACTCACGTGTAGCCAACAAATCCTCGCTTCAACAGTTTTCAAGGAATTTCCCATGGTAACATCACCAAAGGGAAGGCATGCACGATACTGCTGTATGGCAAAAGAAGAAAGATCATGAGAACTACATGTTCAGAGAGACACAGAGAAGAAGCCCCCAAGAAAAAAAGGAACAAAGACGGACATGTAGAGCACGCACATCGCTTCTACTATTCGGAGGCTGGGAGATTACGTGAGCTTTGACTAAAGGAGGAAACAACATTAATATTGCAACACAACTAAAGCAGTGTGCCAGTAGTACGCTTTCGCCCCCAACAGTATCTTGACGCGCCCATACTATGACGGGGATATCTTTGTTGGGTATTTCAAGAGCCAGGCAAGCATCTTACCAGCATATAGGCAAGGAGCCACTGCGCGTATCTTGAGAGTATTCGCTCTGGCTTCAAATCTATTCCGAAGGTTGTTGGACATCGCGGGAAGTGTTCATCCGGGTAACTCTTTCCTGCCAGCGGGTGGGCTGGTGATCGGTTTGACACACACGTGATTGCGCAGTTCGCCTCACACACACACGAACGTTTTTCTTGCTGTGTTCTTCGCCCGTGTCCCGCAGATCCGAGAGAGAACACGACAACATCCAGCAGTCGCAGCGGCAAACGTACAACCGCGCAAGCGGAACTTTCCGCCGGACGGTGTCCCGAGAGGGTATGACCACGCTCGCATCCACGCTCGACGCTAAGAAAGCAGCATCGCCGCTCGTATCACCCTGCGTCCGTCGTCTAGGCGGGGCTTTCTCCCCCGCCCTTGGTGACCCAATGTCAGACGACGGCACGGGCGGCGGGTGCGGCGGCATCGCCGGCGGCGGCGGCGGCGGCGGTTGTGGCCTCAACAACGGTAACGTCAACGGCAGGTGGAAGAGAGATCTCGAGCCCGGGGGTTGCGCGGAACAGCAGCCCCCGCCGGCCAAGAGAGCTTCTCCGGTACCGCGGAAGCCGCACAACCCAGAAACAAGAGCGGCAGAAACGGCCGTAGCTCGGCCACCCGGGGATGGAGCGGCAGCAGTGCCGATGGCGCCCGCGCCCGCGCCGACGCCCGCCCCGCGGGCCTGGCAATCGTCGCCTACCTACTCTCTGAACGGCGGCGCCGGAGGCACCCACGCGTGCGCTCGCGAGAACGCGCTCGTCATGAGCAGGGCCCACCCGACTTCCCCCTCGAAGGCGACGGCGGCAAAGGCGGGAGCAGCGGCGGCGGTGGCGGCGGGTTCAGAAGTGTTGTCGTCGGGGGGCACGAGACCGAGCCGCGCGAACACACTCGGTGCCGATCGACCCCGTTCCCCCCCGGTGCTGTCGGAGAAGCCGGCGGTCCTTCCGTCGACCCCGAACGGGCACCACTCGTCGCACCAGCAACCGCCGCGGCCGCGCCCCAACCCTTCGTCGTCGTCCGCATTGTCGTCGTCGACGCGCACGATGGTTGGGCATCGCCACCACTGTCGAGATATCCTCAAGCCTTCCCCCGCGAAGCACAACGTTGAGGCCGGGGCGTGTGGCCTGGAGGGTGGTGTCGGTGCTGGTGCTGGTGCTGCTGGTGCTGGTGCTGGTGCTGCTGGTGCAGCTGCCGCTGCCGCTGGGGCGGCCGGGGGGAGCGAAAGCGAGGGCGACAGCCCCGGGAGTTCGTGCAAGGGCACCAAGCGGCCGCTTGGCGGGGGTCTGAGGGCGTCCGCGAGCTGCGACGGGGGAAGCGCCTCGGACGCTCCCCCCGGGAGCGGGGGAGGGTTCAGCGCCCCGCCTGCGCTGTTCGAGTCTTGCGAGGGCAGAGAAGCTGGTTCTTTCAGCGGTGCCGGCGGCAAGGGAGGAGGAGGAGGAGGAGGAGGAGGAGCGTTGCGACCGCCTTCGACAATCTGCCTCTCCCCCTTACCGTTCGCGCGCAGCATGAGCACGGAATCGTCGGGGGCAGGAGGAGGAGGAGTGGCGAATGATCTGAGGCGAAATTTGTTGGGAGAGGGCGACGGATTTACGGACGGCGGGTACTCGTTTAGTAGCCTGCAGTCTACCTCTAGCACCGGGACTCACCCCGCCGGAATCGGCAGATCGGCGAGTGGAGGCGGCAGCAGCGCGGGTGGTGGCGGTGGCGGTGGCGGCGGGGGGGGGAGCGGGGGCGGCAGTCGGGGGGTGGACGAACTAGAAATGCTTATTGGCAACGACAACATGCACGACATCCAAGACTGCATGCGAACGCTCCAAGCAAGCCCAACGGTGAGATTTTGATCTCGGATAGACACCGAGAGGCGATACGAGCACGCTGTCAAGCAAGTGTGGCCGTCGCGCAAGCAAAAAGCTCGTTTCGACAAAAGACTCTGAAGCTTGCTGCTCCCCGCTCGAACTTTTCAAGTGTTTTTGAATTGTGCGACAATTCGCACAACTACCCTCTCCATGTTGCTGCGACGCGCGTGAAAATGTGCAAGTTACGAGTAAACCCCGGGGACCACATATTCTCATGTCCACCCAGGAAAAACACGTAAGAGCATCCTCCGACCTCCCCCCAACCTTATACGCACCCTTTACTCTTACTGCTGTACCCTTCTCCGCCCCTTCGTCATTGCGACGAGCAGCACGGCAGCAGCAGTAGCAGCCACCACCCGGACCACCACGCGGCCGCTCCTCCGGCCGCTCCTATCGGCTTTTACATTTCATCCCTTGACGAAGCCCATCATCACAACGGTGATAGCGGCGGCGGCGGCAGCAGCGGCGACATGGACGTAGAAGGTGCAGGTTCGCGTTCGAACGGTGGCTTGGGTGGCGGCGGCAGCGGCAGCGGCGGCGGTGGCGGGGACCCTTTTGGCCAGGAAGAGGACAGTTTTGGCGCGGCAGCGGCCCTGACGAGCTATGACGACGAGGTCGGGCCGAAGATCGGCGACAGCCATCAAGCGGTGATTCCGAAGCTGTCGAGTGTGACCGAGGACGGTGAGTCGTGATCGGGACCGGGGCGGAAAGAACAGCAGCAGAGTCGGAAGGGGACTGGATGGAGCGAGGAGGGCGTTCGTTGTCTGTTCCGTGTGTTGTCGCCCTGCTACATGTGTTTGCGTTGTTGAACAGCAGTGTTTGTTTTTCGGGCGCACACGGCCTCTCTTCCTGGAGCTTCCTTCCCATGTGCGCGCCGCCCCACGTGCACGTGTGGCAGGCCCGCTCCGATAGGTTGTTCGCCGATTACCGTCATCGTGCGCTCAGATCGTACGTGCCACGGCCCGTCCGTGGCAATCCTTGCGACTCCCTTCTGCGGCCTCCTGTGTCCCACCCTTTCTCTCTTCCCCTCCTTGCCCCCCTGGGTCCGTCCCCCCGTCCCGATTCCAGGAACCACCTTGCGATCATCGCCGCGGCCGCCGCCACTCCAGCTGTGGCGACCGGGGGCGCTCTCCCCTGCTGCGCTTGACCTTGCCCTGCCGAAACCCCGGCCGGGGGGTGCCGGCTCCGCAGAGCTGGAGCAGAAGATGCTGGCGGCGTTTCTCATTGCGAAAACCAACGAATCCGAGCGGCGGTCAAACGGCGGCGGCGGCGGCGGCGGCCGAGATTCCCGGTCCGCCGGCGGAAGCTCCGCCGGGGGTAATGCTGCTGCTTCTGCGGCAGCAGCAGCAGCAGCCGCGGCGAAGGCAAGGGCGACGGCGGCGGTGGCGGCAATGGCATCAAGGGCCGAGGGCGCCGGAAAAGGCCTGTTCCGTGCGGCCGCAACAGCGACAGCCGCCGACGTGACGGGGGCTAGCGAGAGGGATACGGACGGCCTGCAGGGCCTCGCGGCCGTCGTGATGGCGGGGGAGGGCGCGCGTTGGCGGTCGGATTGGCCGGAGGAGGACCGAGCGTCGTTTCGGCGGGGGATATTTGCATTCCGGCGAGATTTCCATCGAGTTCGTGCGGCGTTCTTGCCGCACAAGGTTTACGGCGACGTTGTTGAGTATTTTTACAGGTGAGGGCACGCGAGAGGTCTGGGAGAGCGTGGGAAAGGGATGGGCCGAACGCGCACGGGTATGGGGGTTGGGTGAGGAGTGCTACTTATCACACCTCTCTTCGACCCCTGTTTTTTTTGCCTTTGTCGATGTGTTCGTTTTCCCGGGTGGTAGTGTGCCGCCAGGACCATGATCATCGGTTTGATGACGGGTACAGCGACGAACTTAATACACTACGTGCGCGTGCATACCCTTGTCTGCATACCCATCAGAAAGTCCTTTGTAACCCCCCCCCCCCCCTCCCGTTCCCGTTCCCGTTTCCCTCTCGTGTGAGCAGGCGTTGGAAACGCAACCCAGAGTACGCCGCGTGGAAGTGCACAGACCAGCTTGTCGGCAGGCGCGTGGCGAAGCGCGTAGAGACGACCCACGTGCGAGAGGGCGCGGGTCAGGCCAAGAGGTTCGAGACGTTGGGCATGCGGCGCGGCTGGGTGGTGGAGAAGGAGGACATGCTGCTGCACGGTCGCGACGAAGACATGTTCGTCATCCGATACCCCAGGATGGGCGTCTTCCAAGTCAAGTTTGAGGTGAGAGAAGACCTGATAACTTGCCCTAAAGTGTGGAGGTATGTATCCCCGGATAGACCCTTTGCCGCCTATCCCCGTCAGACCCGACGCGCGTTCTGTTTTTTTTTTTTCTGCGGCCAACAAGGAAAGGAAACAACGTGCCCCCCCCTATCTTGGCTCTTGGGAGGGCATCTGTTCGCACTTTTTCCGTCCCAAAGCCATTTGGGGAAGAAAAGAAAACACCGGAATAAGGATAATGGAACACGAACACGTGGGATACCAGAATATACCCGGAACCTGTCAACGGTTCCAGCGCGTCTCGGTCGTAGGTCGTAGGTATTGATTTATGCTGGACGAGCTTCGAATTTTTCGTGTCGTCCACGCTACAGTCCATGCCTCAAATCACTATTTTGTAGTCGTCCACACTGCAGTCTACGCCCAGTAAGTGTCTGGTATTTAGTCAACTCCTTGCTTCCTCAGTGGGGTTGTCACAGATCCGTCGTGACATCGATAGCGTTTGGCTGTTTGTGCTGTGTACCACGCCAGTGGTGTGGCTTGTTCACCACACACACGATGGACCGACCTCTCCCCCCCCCCCCCCCCCACCACCCATCCTTCAAAAGGGGGACCTCGGGACCCTGGAAACAATGCTGGTGGAAAGGTCGGCATCCGACGAGGACCGTGGGGAAGAAGGTCTTGAGGACAGCGGTGGAAACGTCGCACGGACTTCTTCTTCCGTTGACACCC